GAGATTAGAAAAGGTACTTGAGTAGCATACTTATTGTATATTACTTTATTTCCACCTGCTGTTGTAGCAGTTACTGTTTTCTTTGAATTATATGTCCAGTATTCTGATGGCAGTACATTTGGTAAGCAAAGGCTTATTGTACTTCCTGTATCTAAGTAAGCATGGAATTTAATTCTACAATAATATTTTATATTGAGTGTAATTTCAATATATGGGCTCATGGGATTAGTACTTATTATTCTTTCCATGATAACAATGATTTCATATTTTCATCTATTCTTGGAGTGATAATTGGATTATCGTCAACTGTTATTTTCAAATATCCTTGGCAGATTTTATAAGGACTATATTTCTCAAGAAAGTTTATTCCTAGTAGAATAGGTGAACGATCTACTCCATATAATTCATCTTTATATAGAATTATTTCTTTAATATATTCTTTCTGATCCTCTCCTACAAGTATAAGAGGAAATTTAACATATTTTCTTATTTCAAGATTATTTCCTAAATAATCCTTAAATATATATGGTTCTGGTATTTCAAAGTCTATTAGATGATTAACAAACTTGGCATTTACATAACTTTTATCTACTCCAGTATCTATAAGGACAAGAAGATTTTTCTTAAATCCTTCTTCATTTACATATCTTGTCTTAATGTAATATTGTGAACTTGATGGTTCAGCAATACTTAAATTCTTAGGTCTGCTTATCCTAGAGTTTTGTCTAGAGGGAAATCTTGCAATAAGATTTTCTCCTTCTAAGCTGACACTATTTCTTCTTATTAATTTTCCTTCAGAATTAATTTCTTTTGCTTGTTTATGGAAATCAAGCATTATTTGTTCTGGTATAGTTACTTCATGTTCTTGATATTTCCTAGGAGGTATGTATTGTGCTAATTCTTCAAAATCTTTATGTATTATTACGTTATTAGTTATTTTTCTTAAATTGTGATGATGGCTAGTGCTAAAAGCAAAAATTGATTTTATGCTTATACTAATAGCCTTACTTTTTAGTAACATCTTTAAATTTCCAATTCTATAATATAGATTGAAACTTTGGTCAATATTTTCATCACTCAATGATATGGCATAATTTGGTTTTATTGTGAATATTATCTTTTGATTGACTAGATTTCCTACAACTGTTCCTAATAGAGCATCTATAGGATCTTGTAAGATTCTATTGTCCATACAGTATATTTCTATTGGTATATTCATACCTTCTCTAAAAAATCCTTTTACCATTATCTGGACTCCTCCTAATTCAATACATTTTAATTTATTCCTTATATTTTCTGGGATTTTGGATAATTTTTGTTTTACCCATTCTTTTGTGATTATAGGAATTCTTATTTTTCCTATAGCATCTTCTATATTAATAGACATTTCTTTATAATTCATACTTACAATTGTTTTATTTACCCTTGGTAAAATTCCTAAGAATTCTTGATGGAATACATCTTTTTCTTATAGATCTAATATCTTTTTAGTAATTCCTGCGTATTTTTTAATGTCAAAAGTAATCTCTTGATTAATACCTTCTATAGAATTTTCAACTTCTTCAGTTGTTTCTATTTCTATTTCTGATTGTTGTATCTCTTGGTTCATATATACTATCTCCTCATAATCTTCTTCTGATGAAAATGTATCTAATTCATAAATACTACTGCATTTACTACTTAAATCTCCAAAATATTCAATTGGTTCTATGTCACTATCTTCTTGGAATTTTTCATAAATTCTAAGAGTTTTTATATTTTGTCTATCTTTCTTTTTAGGACATTGAGGGGCAATGTGTCCTTCTTCATTACAAATAAAACATCTACATTTTTTAATGTTTCTTGGTTTAAATTTCTTATTCCAATTTCTTTTCTTGAAATATTTTTTATGTGGTTTAAAATTCTTTTTATTGAATTTTTTGTAGTTTTTGAATTTCCTTTTATATTTCTTATATGGCTTATATTTCTTCTTATGGCATCCAAATTGTTCAACTTGGCCATTATCTTTATAACAACATAATGAATTCTTTCTTATTTTATAAACTTTCTTATTTTCTAGTGCTTCTCTGAACCACATTCCTATCATTCTTCTTGTAAATTCAATTCTACTTTCAAAACTATCTATTTCAACTCCTTCCTCTTTTCCTAGAGGTAGTAATTTTTCATATTCTTTTAGTAACTTGATTCCCCATGGGAATGGTAACTTGGTAAAATAAGACCTTAAAATAGGTTTATTTTCCTGATAGTCTCCTTGATTGAGTATATAGTATATTTCTTCAAATTTACATGTATATCTTTCTAACTCACACATATCACATATCTTTAAATTTTCCATTAAAATCATTCCTTGGTTATATTCATCTTACTTTCTTTCTTCTTCATTAGAAGCATACCTATCTCCTAAGAATTCTGTTCTTAAGATTTTTTCGAATCTTTTTAATATTTCCTGTATATTTTGTTCATTTAGAGTATTCCTATTATCTAATACCTCAGTTCTGTTTGTTCCATATTTTATCCTTCCTTTAATAATTTCTGGTAACTTTCTACACCATTCAGACACAATTCCTCTGAATGTATGTTCTATAAATCCAAAAACTGTATATGTTTCCCATTTGTTAAATTGTATAGCTAAATCTGTACTTTTTATCCATGTTTCTATAGCTTTATCTTTATCTACACAGTCTAAATCTAACCATACTCCTGTTGTGTGGATTGGTTTATTATAAGATTTCATTTGATTTATTTCTTTTATGGATTGTTTTCTTACATTTCCAGTGTATCTTTTCTGTGTTTTTCTATATTGATTAAGACCATATTTAAGTGATATTGTAGTACCATAAGGATAATCTTGTTCTTCATCACTACTGAATTATACTTTTATATCATGACTTGAAGATAGATTAGTATTCATTTTTATATTTTCCATTTTTTCAGTTAATTCTTCTAACTGTTTTTTATATTCTTCATACTCTTCACCTGTTGATTCTAAGAATTTTTGTTCTATCTCTTCTACATTTGTAATCATATATTATTTTTCTTCATGCTTTTTTCCTTTATTATTTTCTTTTTGTGTTGTCCTAAAATCTTGGGGTGGATTAATAATAATCCTATCTTTTCCTCTAAGGTTTTTATCTAATAGGGCATTTCTTATTTGTAGATTATGTTCTAAATTCTCTAATCTTTTATGTATATCCCCAAAATTTTCATTTGTGGTATTCTTAGGTAAATAAGGATAACTAGGTTTTTTATTTTTTTCAACTTTTTTCAAAATTCTTCAATTATATTTTCTTCATCTATTATATTCATCATAATTTTTGGTTCGTAACATGGTTCTGATACCATTTCGTCGGAGTGTGCAGCGGAGGGGTTAATATTTTTAAGCCAATTAAATTTTTCATAAGTATTTAAAATATCACAATAGAATTTATAAAATTCACTATTTTTTACCAATATATTTTCTTTAATAATTATATTTAATTCTTTAATTCTTCTTCTTAAATTAAGAATTAATTTATATATATCTTTTTCCATTTTGATTATTTCATTATCTATGGAATCATTTTTATTTTTTAGTTTTGGGTCTAGATATTCTATAAAGAAGTCTTTCAAATCTTCTTCCAAATAGTTTAATTCATTTTCTGTGGCCTTTTTTAAATCAATAAAATTTTGTATAATATTTGGGTCTAAATTTATTAAAGAATTTTGATCTATATTTCTTTGTAGACCTATTTGAAGATTTTTATACATTATAGTGGTTTTGGTTACAATTTTCTCTATAAGGGATATTTTAGGAAATATAATTTTTTAAAGGTTATTTTGGAAATATTTTTATTTCCTAGTCTAATTTGGAAAATCCTCCCTTTATTTAGACTATTTTGATGTATTTCCCCCACCCAACCTCGTTCCTCCCTATATATTTAGGTCTCTATTACAATTAGGCTTCCATTGCAAAAATCCCGACGGATGGAGGCAAAACAGAGAGATGGAAATTTCTAAGGGTGGTTATCCCTCTCTATTTGCCTGTGATTTCACTATCCACAAAATCTAACTGCCCTTTTATACTCGGGTTTCTGAGCGTATATATTCGGGGAAAATTTCACCAATGGTCACTGAAGTTTTAGCAAAACATAAGAGCCTGCTTGGGAGTTTATGAGTACCGGTTATGGGGGTTTTAAGCAGCTCTTTGTTTGATAAAGCCTTTTGAGATTGCTGCTGCTGCTGCTGCTGCTCATACTTTGTGTAGGCTGTGAGGATTCTTTTCGTTGAGTTGGGTCGGGCAAGGAAAATTCGGAACCGTATCTTGGCGGGGCAAGCCTTGATGGCGTTGTGAGGAGGGAAATTGACTGTTCTCTCTCTCTTTCTCGTTCTCTCTCTCTCTCTCTCTCTTGCATATGCAACAAGGCTTTTGCAGCCATGGCGGTGCTGGAATCTCCTTGCCTGTTGTTTTTGCAGATCTGAGCCTCACGCAGGTTTATTTATTTCAAACTTGCTTTTTCACTTAGCAGTGAAGTTTATTCTTAGATGGACATGCTATAGCTCATTCTTGCAAAATCATAACTGAAGAATGAGGCGAATGAAGAGATGTAATTTTTGCAAAGGGTGGTTACCCATCTCTATTTGCCAATGATTTCACCATCTACAAAAACCAACAACCCTTTTATGCCACCAGGACCAGTATCTTGGATCCATTTTAATCCACGACTACTTATTATCTTGTTATAATTTCAGTAACTTGTAATTAAACCCAAACAAGCTTTACCTATGTGGGATTTTACCCTTAACAAATCCTGTTCATAGAATGTCTGAACTTTTGGTGAGGTTTCATCCATGGAAATTTCAAGTATTAAAAGGTATAGTTTTGTTGTTGCTGAGGTTGCTGTTGCTATCTGTAGGCTGTGATGATTATTTTGTTCGAGTCAGGTCAGGCATAAGGAAATCTGATCCGTATCTTGGCAGAAACCCGGATGGCGTGTGGAGAACGGATATGAACTTTGTACTTTCCCTCTTTCCGATATGCAAATTGGGTTTTGTAGCCATGGCGGTGTCTTTCTCCCAGTGCCTGTAGTATTTCCAGATCTGAGTCTCACTTATTTTTATTTTAAAGCTTACTCATTACTTATAAACCTTTTAACTTAGCCAGGCATCGTTGGAAAAATCCCCACTCAAGAATGAGCTCCTTCTATGCAAATGATTTCACCTTCCACAAAAACCAACAGCCTTTTTATGCCACCAGTCTCTTGGATCCTGACCAGTGTGTGTATATGCTGTGTAAAGCATTGTTGGATTACCTTTGGCAGGAAGGATTAGATTGGATAGTGTTGAAAAAGGGGGAAAAAGCATCATCTTTCTTCTTTATACTCTTCTTTCACACTCCATATCAACTATAAACAAACATGCACTCAGGCACTGAACTTTGTTGAGGTTGCTGATGCTACTGTAGGATTGGATTGCTTTGCTAGAAGGGAGATTGAAGGTGTTTTCTCTCTCGTAAATGCAACTTGTCCTGAGCCTACCCCTGCTTATTTACTTATAAGCAATCTTTTTAAGTTCAACTTGTCATGGTTTTGTGTGGTTTATATTGGCTTGGATTCTTCAACCTCATTGGTTAACTTTTGGGTCTGGCTCTCCCAATTGAGCGTGACATTTACTTATAAGCAATCTTTTTAAGTTTAGCCAAACATAGTAGTCTTCATTGCAAAAACCCCAACTTTAAGAATTAATGAGACTAACTGAGGGATGGGATGTTTTCTAAGGCCAGTTACACCTCTCCACATGCCAATGATATGACCATCTACAAAAGTGATCAGACCTTTTATTCCACTCGATCTTGTTGTTGAAACTGCCTCAACTTAAACTTTTCATGAAAGTTATTAAGAGAGAGAGAGAGAGAGACACATGTATTAAATTAAATTTAGGCTTCAACATTTCTTCACGTTCAGAGTGGATTCAATTTTTTATGATAACATGATGAGATTGAATTCAAGATCTCTAAACCAACTCATCCAAAATGAGATTGAATTCAAGATCTCTAAACCAACTCATCCAAAAGTATATGGCAAATTGAAATTAGATTGATGCCACATGTACATGGAAAATGTACAGACGGATTTACATAATGTCGCATGACAACATTTCATTGGATTTTGAACAGAAAACGTAGTTAAAATAGCCAATCATGTGTTGCTATTTCAGTACCTGTAAAATTGCCTAAGCATTTCTCCTATACAAGTATCATTTCTGTTGAAATTATCCGATACGTGAATCTTCTTGTAAGCAGCAGCAGTAGATCACTTCTATGTATTCACATTTCATCCATGGGATTTTCATGAGCCTCTGTTCCTTTTCCATCGTATGATTTTGTATGTTTTTGCTGCTGTGTAGGCTCTGTTGATTTTGCAAATCTTAGCCTGTTATTTTATGTTTCTTCTTGCATAGCTGTGATTGTGATTGTGATTGTGATTGTTCATACTGTTGTTGCATTGTGTTCAGATGGGCGAATGCTATGTTGTGTAGGTAAGTCGTGTTGCATTATGTGATGTTTGTCTGTGGTTCAGGCGTGTGTATATGTTGTAATTTATCCAAGCGTGTAATTTTTATTGTGTCTTTTAAATCTTCAAATTGGTTTGATTTTGAAGTGGTATATTTATAGATGGTGTCAGTCACTTCTCTCGAGGTCAATTTTAATTTTGTCTACAACATTATTTAGCTTCCGTTTGTTTTCCATTAAAATGAAAAATATGATTGTTATCCATTACATTAAGTCATCATATTTGATTTTATATCTCTTGTGTGGGATCCGTAATGACTATATTTTTCATTTTTATTTTTACATTAATGTGTACCGAATGGGGCCTCAATAATCTTCGATAAAATGACTAAAATGTTGTAGACAAAATTAATTGAGTATTTGATTTTATATCTTTTGTGTGGGATCCGTAACGGCTATATTTTTCATTTTCATTTTTACATTAGTATGTACCAAACGTGGCCTTGAAACTCAATTAATTTTGTCTACAACATTTTAGTCATTTTATCGAAGATTATTGAGGCTGTCATGTAGTTTTTATCAGGTTGAGAAGCAGATTTCACCTTATAACAATCACTGATTCTACCATGGAAATCGATGTACATTGATCTTGTCTTGAACGTGGCTAAAGTGCGGTGGTTCAATGGCAGGATAAGGTTTCAACGAGTTATAATGTATATGATTTGGATGTCCAGTTCAAGTGAGGATGAAAGAAAGGGCTAAACGCAGTCATTTGTGTTTGTCTGAATATATGACTATGTTGGTAACAAATATTGTGATCATCCACTTCCTTAATTTGCTAAAAGGGTCCAAAACTTTGAATTGGTGACAGAAAATTGTCACTAGACCCTATAATTTAATTTTCGTTCAATGAAGTACAATGGCTTTCATCGATTAGGAACACGTGCACTAATAAGACTAGATAGAGAAATGGGAGTTTATGACTTGAATGAATCGATAGCAATGGATTAGTGGAATGAGGGATTAAGAGCTGGATAGAGGGGTGCCTATTTATCATTGTGTGTGAGGATTAAATGTATTTTTAACATGTTTTTAATTTATTTATCGTATTTTAATTTTTCTTAGATATATCGACATTTTGTCAATTGTGCATCTCATCCTTGAAGATGATTTTTATGAAAAATATATTTGTGTACTCTTGAATGAAGGAATGATATTTTGTAACAAGTATTTTATGCCTTCCCAACGAACTCTTTGGATGGAAATTGTTAATAGAAACAAGATTGGTTAATAAAGTAAAGACTAAGGATAAGCATAAATCAAAAAATTTAGAAATATAAGGACTACAATAAGAAAAGATTAAGGACCTTGTTGAAAAGTGTGGTACATAATAATATTATTAGGCTAAAGATATTTGCTCACAAGTTTTAATATTTAGATTATATTTTAATTGCATAAAATGTTGATAACTTTTACTCCATCTCATTAGATACCTACTTGAAAATTAAATAATCATTCAATTTTTTTACCATTTTCAATAACATCAAGTATGATTTTTTAATTCATGTTAAAAATAAAATTAGCCTATATAAATGAAACAAAAGAAATATTCATTATCATATTTTTATTTCAAGCTTTTTTCACGGCACTTTGACTTTCAAATTAGCATAAATTGTTAATGTTTACCAATTCTCTTCAAATTGGTACAAAGATTCGCTTCTCATTCTATTTTCATATAAGTAAAATAAATAATAATGCAATATTGTGATTAAATATTCGAACCTAATTTTAAAGCACATTAGTAGTATTTTTAGACGAAAATTATCATTAAGGACAAGATTTTCTGATTAATGAAATGTTAAAGATAAGAATGTGAGGAAAAAAAATTAAGAATGTAAGTGTGATAATGAATAAATGTTAATAATCTTTAACTTTTGTTTGACAATAATCCTTTCGAATTTTTTTTCCTAGTGCTTATTTTTAATTACACATTTATATAATAAAATATTATTTACATGAATTAAATTTTTTTCTACTTTATGATCATATATTTTTCAAAATTTTATTCTAAAAAAGAAAAAAAAATTATTATATATATATGATTGTCAAGCAGGACTTTAATGTAAATAAAAATGTTGTGTATATTTATAAAATGTATAATTAGTAAAAGCATCTCGTTTGTGCTCATTACGAAAATGATTCTTTTCATTTCAAATTTGGCATTTACACCCTAGTTTCAAACATTTCTTGTGAAATTGGTCTTTTTCGTCAAATTCCATTAAATTCTTTTGTTGAATGTCTAGTGTGGTGCAAAACATCCATGTCGTTTGCTTCAATTGCGAAAATAGTTCTTATTGTTTCAATCTTGATATTTGGACACTCGGATCGATCTTTTTTTTTCTTTCTTTTTTTTGTGTGTGTAATATGTCCTTATAATCTATTTTTTTTCCATTATAATATTGTAAAATGACTAATTTATCATCATCTTTAAATAAATAGGAAAAAGAAATGATACAAAAAAAAAAAAATTGCATCTAAAGTTTCGTATTTTATAATATGTACTTAGTCTCTTGTAAAATGATTTAAAACATTTTAATAAAAGAAAAATATTCTCTCCTTCCAAGTAACCCATCTATCCCTATGTCCATCCTCTACGCTCAACAGCCGCCATCAAATTAATTAAAGAGATAATTAAAAGTATAATGAAATGATGGTGTGAATAGCAAGTTTGAAACGATAGGGAGTTTTTTTTGCTAATGACCCTTTTATCTCTCCTCAATATAAATTTAGGTCTTGGTTAGCAACTATCAGTTCTGGTCAAAATTCCAACTCGAAGAGGAGGCAAAAAGAGAGGTGGAATTTTCTAGAGGGTTGTTGACTCTCTTTGTTAGTAGTGATAGGTCCAACACCTGGTAAGCACTTGTGAATGCACGTGCTGGACTGTCGGAGCAATTTTTTTGGTTGACAATAAATAAACTTTTTAGCTTATATTACTAGTAACTTATTTTAATTTCAAACTTCTCTTCTAACTAAGTTGGTTAGAGCTTGCATATACATATTGAAAGCCTTGAGTTCGAATCCCTTATCAAAAAATTTGTTGTGTAATTTTTTTATTTTTAGAATTTTTGCCAAGATTAATGCAATGGGGAGAACGCCAAAGGGAATTGTGACCTCTTGTAAGGATTATTGAAAACTTGATCATTATGGCACTTGTTGAATTTAGAATGAAATTTAACAAAGTAATATACGTTAGGTTTTAGCAATTTTAATGTAATTGTAAAAATTCGAACCTATGCTCTTCCTTTGAATTGTACAAAATTTGGCAATAATGTCATTTGGTGAATATCATTTATTCTTATAACAGAATTAGATATGTTCAATTTGATCAAAATAATTGTTATATTTAAATTTTAGGTATTATTTGATTTTCATTTATTTCAAAATACATTTTTTTCTCTTTTTTGCAATCATACATTCTTCAATAAAATAAGATAACATGCAAATTCAAAATCTTTTCTTATTTTTAACAACATATTCTATTACAAAATGCATTTTTTGCAAAAAAAAAAAAAAAAAAGAAAAAAAAAAGACAACAAACAGACTTTTAATATTTTATTGCAGTCGACAATCGACGGGTGACGACTGTTCGTGCTAACTCAAAATCCTGAATCCGGCACTCTCTGTTTGTCCATGATTTCAGCATCTACGAAAACCAATAGCCCTTTTTTGTCACTGGATTTCCTGGATATATTCAACCAAAAGACAAAAGCCGTGGAAGGTTCAGGTCATTCACGAAATTCCTTCTCCATGTTGCAGGGTACAAGCTATGTCTGTTGGTTTTAAAGCTCTTTCGGGTAGGCTGTGATGATTATTATTTTCTTTAAGTTGTGTTAAGCATCGGAAAATCTTACCCGTATCTTGGCAGGGCTAACCTGGTTAGCATGCAACTGGGCTTTTGCAGCCATGGCGGTGTCTCAATTCCTTTGCCTGTTCTATTTCCAGATCTGAGCCTCACACATTTTTATTTAATTTTTCTTTTCAATTATGGGCTTGTGTGTGTTGTTAGCATAATTGGTATAATAATAATATTACATAATATTTTTTATTATTAGTTGTATTATTTAGTTTCCTTATTTTGTAGGTTTTCTTGTAGTATATATTCCATAATTTACCCTAAATTTGGTGGCTCATAAAAATTCTTTGTTTTTCTCTTTCCCTTTGTTCTTCTTCTCTTTGTGTTGATTTATAAGCATTATGTTGATTTATATTAGAATTAAGCTCCTCTACCAGGTCTGGTAGAAGCCCTCCTCTCATTCTCTTACCTCAGTGGGTCCTCCATTGTTAAAAAATACTCCCAAAATACCCAGCCCACCCTCCAAATGTGAGATGAAGTGCTCTACCAGGCGCCTAGCAAGGCAGCACGGTTCTTTATATTATTTTCATGTGTAACTATTTCACTAACAATTCGAGGATTTGCTTACAGCTATGATGAAAAATTTTACTGCAATTAACTCAAAAACTGTGTAATTACCAACCGCAGCGTAAATTTTAGTTCTATATTTATATAATTGATTAAAAATAAATTAACTAATACAAAATTATATTGATGAGAAATAATTGATATAGGATTAGATTGTTACTCAAAGATTTGATGAGATTTGTGGAAAAAAAAGGTACAGAGGTAATTTTAAAACATCTCCCAGAGACTTTCTTTTAAAGAGTATATTTTATCATTTCAAAAGTATCTATAAATTTAAAGAGTTAAAATTTTAAAGTACTCTAACAAGTTCTTTGTATTTAACACTTAATTTTATTACTTCCAAAAAAATTATTATTTTTATCTAACTTTTATTTTAGCTAACTTTTCCTTAAATTATTTTACTATTTTCTAACATTGAAAATTGAAAACACTTTGAATACATTTAATTATAGAGAGTGGGTTTGACTCTTCAAATTTGGAGAGTTAAACTCACTCTCTAAAATAAAATGTTAATTTAAAGAGTCTATTGGATCATGATTTTAAATGTTGACTCTTTAAAATAGAGAGCATCTCATCTTTAGAGTGTCTCTTAAAAATGTTCTTATATTTTCTTAACATTTTTTTTGGGATTGAGGTTAATCTTGAAACTTCGTCTCAGCAAATTGTTCGAAAAATTGGAAGGAAATACATCATGACTTACAGTCGACCCAAGAGCAGTCGAAGAAGTGATAGCAAATGAAGCTAGTTAATAAGATATTGCATTTCCATTTTTTTTTATTTTTTTTTGAGTAATACTATTTAGTACCGCTATCGTTACAATATATGTTTAAGTGATAATAAAAGTGAAATATAATTAAATTAGTCATATAGTTATATCTTTACTTAAATTTACCACATAATGTCACTTAGCATGATATTGTAGAAAAGTAATATTAGACATCATCAATTTTTTTAACGAAATTTTGCAACTTTTAGGTGTGTCAAAATCGAATTATGTCAAAAGAGAAAAATATATACGAGGCCAACAACCTACAAAATAGTTAGCAAGTTCAACTTTATTTTGTGCGGTTACATAACATTTGAGTTTGACAATATATCGGTCATTAATGTTCCATAAAAGTTCGTGTTACATACACATAATTTATTGTTAATATGCCATTCAAATTTTGTCCAGTGTTCATAGACTGGTTGAAAGAGGTGTTAGCACTACAAGAAAAATCACATTCAACAATCATATAATTGGTCGTAGAATATATTTTTGGTTGTTGATCACATTCAACGACCAAAATGAGTTGGTTGTTCCTTGGTTGGCAAATAGGTGTCGGCTAATGTATTCAACGACTAAAAATACGTTTGGTTGTTAAATGTATTATTTTAGCAACAAAATAATTGATCGTAAAAGATTTGTATTGACAATCGATTCTTTTTCAACGACCACTTGTTTAATTGTTGTATCAACTATTTTTGTTGTTAAAATACAATAAAAACAACCAACTTTTAGTTACCTTTCATTTCAACAATGAAAAAGTTGGCCGTTAAAAATAATATTGACAACCAATTAATTTTATTTCAACAATTGCTTCTTTTGTCATTGTATTTAATTATTTTTGTTGATAAAATATCATAGTAGCAACTAAAATTTAGTCGCCTTTCTTTTCAATAATGAAAGAAATGGTTGTCAAACGTTTATATTAACAATCAAAATATTAAAATAATGAAAAATATGATTATCAACAATAATATTCATGACTTCATGACTTTCACACGTTCACATCATACTACACTCAAATCCCTCCCACAATCATAAACAATCATAACAAGCAAAGGATTCCGCAAAAAGGTTTACACACAAGGCCAACGGCTTTCTTTATCTCGCTTGTCATTAGTTCATATAGTGCTTTCAGTTGGGATTCGCCAAGGGGGTAGACCGCTTGGGTTATTTTTTCAGTATCGAAGGCAGTCAACGTCTCAACCATTCTTCTCCCACAAGACTTGTAAATTCTTTACTCTTGTTCCTTGTCTTTTCCCTTCCAGCTGTCTCCCTATGCTTTATTTGACATGGGTAGAGCATTCTATTAATAACAAGAAAAAAGTAGCAATTCAGTTTCAAATGGTTTAAGCATGGAAGCAACCTGCTATCTATCAACTGTAAATAACATTAACAAGAAGTAAAAGTTTCAGAGCCTTCAATCAATTAAAATATCTCAACACCAACACCAACACCAACTATATGTTAATTATATCAACTATCATGACTTAAAATATTACACTCAGCTTAACCAATGGTATTCTCAACATAAAAAACAAACAGATGTAGTGTTGGAGACTATTGCCTCAATCTAAGAAAAATATATAACTGTCAGCATGTCACCCTTCATATTCACACTGTTAATAGCATACTAAATGGAAGATTTCTCACAGTGCTATTTATACTTGATAGAAAGCTATATACTAAACAATGAGATTACTGAAATTAAAAAAAAAACAAAAAAACAAAAAAACAAAACAAAAGGTACAAACTGAACCTCAACAAAGTATGTTACACATGAAGTTCAAAGGTAAATGTAGAACACCCGAGGAAAGATATCATGGAGGGGGCAAAATTTACCTCCTTCTGATCGCTCCAAGCACAGGTATGAAGCTGAGTCCAATCCCGATCATCCCTGTTGCCTCCAAGCACAAAATTTTATCTTTTCTATCTTGAATGATTCAAGAAAAAAACCCATAATTTTATAAATAATTGAAGCCTGAAAGACGTCTACTTCATGGATTTCTCGTTATACATAACTAAGACCAAGCAACAAAAAGCCCTGAATATTAAGAGCAGAACCTTTTTAATATAATCTGACATTTGCTTTGAATTCTAAGAAGATGGAAAATATCTGAATAGATAAGCAATTGAGATGGCGTGAAATTTTATATCTTTCCCTTTCAATTTCTCGACATGAATTTCAAAAGGAAAACTGGAAAAAAAAATTAGGGTCTTAGCAAGATGGCAAGAATCTATATCGAAACAAGATAATCATAATGAATGCTTGCCCTAAATTTGAAAACAATTCTACTAATTGTCGAAATAGAAACCGCACAATAAAATTCAATGTCTGGCTCATTGATTCAGTTACAATAAAAAGTCATTAGCATTTCAATGATCCAATGAAATTGAATAAAAATACCATTGGCAGTGAGAAACAAATTTATTACATACATAGAGAGAACCAAAAAAGATGAACATAAAACAAAAGTACCTGCAACTTTCAGCAGCAAGACCGAAGCAGGTGGAATCTTCAAGATAAAAGTGAAACTCGGATTCTGAAAACAAAAGTACCTTTTTTTTCTTGAAATCCATATTACCCTCCCATAACATCAGTTGAACAAGGAATTAGTTCATCAAGTACTCCAAAAATATGTTAATAAGGAAAGCATTTGAAATACCAATCGACACTAGAAACTAATTTCATTAAAAACAACAGTCACAGTTGAATGGGCATAGACGGGTACCTCCAGCATCTAGCTTCCCAATGCCCAACTCCTCTTCTGTATAAATTGACACGACCCGTTCCGATCACCCTAATGGATCCGACACGTGTCGTGCGCCGATGGTAGATACCAGCAAAGTGCCGGACCCACCACCAAGGCAAACTTGACATGCTTTGACTGTTATAATTTTATAAAAATTTCGGCAGAGTTCCTTCTGAAAAATAGACTAAAACTACCTGAAAATAAAATCAAATATCCTAAACATGTACATATCATTTGAAATAGGGTACACCGGCCCCTCAAAATATCAACTATTCAAATACAACACTGGCAATTCGACTTTTGCAACAATTTCTAAACCACAGTACCCAAAATGCATAATATATATACAAAACATAGCAAGCCCAACACATGGAACTAATTTATGACCAAAAGAGGTGTCTATCCCAAAATATGAACTCTTAAACTGAAAAGATAATTCATACAATGCTTGACAATCTATGGCTCAACTTGATAGATCAACTGGCCCAATAGTGTTTAACTCAGCTACTATCTGATAAGAGAAATAGTGATAAAAATGTGAGCCTATAACTCAGTGAGTGGATATTTGCAAAAATATAATTTTCCATTCATAAAATCTTTTTGAAAATCGACATATAGCATAAAATTTCATTTCACATACATATAAACTAAAATATTTATTCTTTAAACTGAATAGGCTGAGTTCTGTAGCTTAAAATTTGATGATACAATGAAAACTAAAATATACTGTAATCATAAACATGTTTATTCTGTATTCTGCATTTCTAAAATCTGACAAGTATGTGATACTGAAACATCACACCAAAAATGTACCCGGAATAACCATACTCGTGAATCGATTAATCTCGATATACATAGCAAAGTTATTCAATTCTAAAATTCTGAAATTCTGTAATTCCGATCGTACGCTCACAGAGCTATAAAATGGTCATACACTATGGAAACACATTCACAATAGTGCAGAGCGGGTAAAATCACTATACTGATCATACGCTATGGAAACACATTCACACCAGCGCAGAGTGGGTAAAATAACCATATGAAGTCATACACTGTGGAAATACATTCACACCAGTGCAGACGAGGGTAAAATCACTTGGGTACTTTCTGGTGGTTTTAAAATAACTTTGAATATACTGAAATATTTAATATTAAAATAATATGTCAATGAAATAATTTAACTGAACTGAATTTAACTTTTAAAGAAATTTGATAATAAAATTCGTTTTATTCTGAAAAATCATGCTATCATCTCAACTTATAAATTGCGTAACTTCACAATTAAATAAATACTTATTTCTAAAAAAATAAGCTTATCCACTCACATAACACAAGCTGAACCTAAGCTGGTCGATAAGCTCTTCCAATTTCCTCGTCACCACCTAGAATACATAACAAGATGGCTAATCAACTACTATTAAATTAAGAAACTTTAAGATCTACTTTTATAATACTTAACTAAAATTGGTCGATGCTCGAATGAATTTCCCAAATATTCTTTTGATCAATTGGAGCTAATCTCACTTTCTAATCCCTTTTCTAATAATTAATTCATCAACAAAACTTTCTTCCCAAGTTTAAAACTAAATTTAGTCTCCAATCTAGTGAAACTAGTAACCACAATTCCACTCATTTAATATACATTTTTTCCATAAAATCAACTCCCAAGTGAAATATTCCATTTATATAATCATTTTCACAATTAATTAATCAAAAATCCCAAAATCGAATTCTAGGGTTTCCCCAAAAAAATTGACATCTTCTTACCTTAATGTAGATAGAAATTCAAGAATCAATAACTTGAGCTCCAAGTAGTATTTCTTTCAAAAAAATCTGAAAATTTCGAGCCAAAATAAAACCCTAGAATTTTAACATAATTCATACTTTATCACTTGAAAAAAATGGAAAAATTCAACCCAAGCTTGAAGAAATTAGCCTTACCTCTTTTCCTCTTCTTCCCTTTTTTTCTTTCCTTCCTTCTTTCTCTTTTTCTTCCCTTTTTCCCCTAATTTTTTTCTCTTTTTCGGTCCAGCTTGCTGCCCGTTTCTTACTCTGTGTGTGTGTGTGTGATTTGGAGTGAAAAATGGGTCAAATGTTGACTATAAATTCCACTTATTCAAAAATTGCAAGGAAAGTCCTCCAACTCCATTTTTATATCACATTTAATC